CTGAGCACAAGTATAAACGGTGCATGGTATATCTAGTCATGTGTGGTAGCTTCTTGAATCTAAACTGGGGGTCAACAAACATTCACAAATGTCAGACCAGGTTTCTACTATTTTCTTACAGGTATTAAATTCAGAGTCTTAATGACTATACCTCTTCCTCTATTCTTCCTTCTTTCTCTTCATAATGATCATAACATCATTAACTTTTTGCTTAGTCAAAATATGGATAAGTTTTCGACAATTTCATATATGAGCACTGTATTTACATCAGTTTTTTCCTCCCTTTTCTCTCCCCAAATCCTTCTGTATACCCCTCTCTTTTCATAAGTACCTAAGTAGATAGCCTTATAAAATTTTAGTACAACTCTCTGAGTTGTTTTAATGTTGCTCATAGATACATGGCTAGCACTGAGCAGTTGCTGTTGGATGACCAGTTATGGGGTTCATAGCTAAGGAAGTCTAATTCTCCCTTTCTCAGCACTCATTGATTCCCTATAACTATCGGTTGAGATCTCGTGATATGTCCCCCATCTGTGTTGCATGTCAACTGCTAGTATCGTTTTTCAGGTCTTCTTCAGGCAACCATATTGTTGAGATTGCATGGGTCATATATAGAAGTCTTACAGTAGATGTTCCAGATCTCTGACTCTTGCAATATTTCCCCTCCTCTCCTGTGACCCTCCTTCAGCCTTAGGTGTAGGAGTAGTGCTGTAGGTGTATTGGTTGGGCCTGGGCATCCCCAACCAGTTGTTCTCTGAATTTTGGCCAGTTGTGGTATCTATAATCATCTCTATATACTTTTTTAAAGAATCTTCTTTGATGGGGGATAAGAGCCATACTTAGTGAACTAGATCTAGGCACAGGCAGGCGACCTCAGCTAGGCCTGGAGATTGGATGTGGTCCAAGTGGGTTGGATTCAAGTCAGTTGCAGATGAGCAAAAAGAGTATGTTTGAACAGGGAAAAGGCTGGGAGTTGGTCATGGTGTAGGCAGGATTAATAAGACTCTCAATGACTATATTCTTAATGGGCCTTGGAGTGGGGGGAAAAACTATTGCTTTGCTGCAAAACAGCATTGGGGATACTTTGATATAGTAGATTGAAAAGGGAGAAAAGAAACATCTAATGGAAGCTAAAGCCAAAACAGAGCAATAGGGAGGGGGAAGAGAGAAAGATGCTGCAGCAGTTTTAATGTAACTGGTCCCATAAAATTATAGGAAGTTGAACCATTAGGAGGTGTGGCCTTGTTGGATTAAGTGTTTCACTGTGGGGATGCGTTTTTAAGGTCTCCTATGCTCAAGCTACCCCCAGTTCAGTTTTCTTCCTGCCGCCTGTGGATTAAGATGTACAAGTCTCAGCTGTCAGCCTGAAGTTTGAGGTCTAATTCTAGTCAACTTACAATTTCCTTGAGGGGGCACACCAAGATTTGGATAATTTTAAAGATCTACAAGGCAGAAAATTTAAATAGAATTTCATGAACGAACACAGCTATCCAACTTCCAATTTTCGATCTTTAGAGAGTGCCCCACAGCACAGACTTGAATTGCAAATGAGCAAGTGTCTCGATGTCTGTGTTCAAGAGCATCAAAGTCTGGATCTTTGGCTTCAGAAATGGTGACATCCATCCAAGGGTCCATTAATAAGCAGTTGGCTTTTACACATTTTCTCAGCTCTCATGAAGCTGTGAGCCAGAGAAAAAGGCAGGAAGCTGAATTTGTGAGTTTATTTATGTACAAGGTTGAGGGAGGCAGTAAAGAGCACAGCGGGGCTTTCTCCAGAGTAAGATGGATGAAACATCAAAGCAACCTGTTTTCCTTCAAAACCCAGGTCATGAGCCTGAGCCTCAGGTGTGTGAGCACTAATGCTATTCACGCATCTCCCATTTCTCATGGTGACCTATAGTTTCTGACTGAAATTGTCGATACAGATTAGTTCTTCAAGGGGAAAATTAACTTAAAATCCAGTCTGAGTTGGAAGAATAGCCCCTTCCCTGCTCTCCGCCCCCCCTTTCCTTTCATCAGACACATAGGATTCTTTTTATATTCTCCAAATCAGACAATGACATTGAAGAACAAATCAATAGCATCCCACACACTGTCTCTGGGATGCATGGTCACCATGCCTCAGCAAGTTGCTCATTTCTCTTGAAGGTCCTTAAAAAGCAAAGTTATTCTAAGCATAGACCAGTTGCTTTGAGCAGCTCGGGGAGGCAGCCTGAGCGGTGTGCTGAGCAGGGCAGGGATTGCACTGTCTGTGCAGAATGTTGCTTCTAATTGGCTCAGCCTGCCAGCCACTTGAGACTACCTGCCAGCCCCTGACAGGAATCAAACAGTCCTTACTCAAACCAATTGGACTGGCTCTACTCGAATGAGTTATCTTGACCGGATATAGCTCCCAGTGTGCGTTTGGAAACTGCCTTTGCTGCCTGCGAGTTCCAAGAAATTTTTTGAGCAACAAGTCAGTCATCTACAGAGGAAATCCATGTGTCAATAATGCCAAGGAAGACTCGAGCTTCTTCATGGTAATGAGTATTAGTACCTTAGCCAGTTACTTCCTATCTGTCTCAGAGTTCTATATTTAGCCAGCACAGGCTGGGGAGACAACAGACATCCACAGAGCCCAGCTTATTTGTAGGAACAACATAACCTTTAGGCTTGATAATCATGCCAAATATTGCATATTTAAAAGCAAATGTTATTCTAATTAACTGTGTTCACAAATGGCGATAGTTTTTCCCACAAACGCTGGTCTGGAGAATAAACCCCAAGGCTCAAATCAGAATGGAAAAAAAGTATGAACTTAAGCCAATTTTATACAAGGTCATGACCTTCAAATGTCAGCAGGTATTGAGACCTCATGTATTTTACAGACAACTGTCACCAGAGAATGCTACACTGTCAGAGTCAAGAACCCCAGACACTGAGTAGGAGACACTAGGACAGATCTCTGAGATGGCAGAAGCAGAAAGATAGCTGTTCTGCATCCCAGGGAAAGCAAACCTCTCTTCTTCCTGAAATGACTTTCAGGGATTCAGTGCCCTGGTGAGTTTTCTGTCAATGCTCTGTTTCCTTTTATTAACATTCACTCAGACTGGTAATATGTGTTTGTTATTTTGATATAGATAAACAGGAAAGTAACATTGAAAACAGAAACACTGTTTACTTGTGCAAACATACACAAAATATTAATGCACTAAAAAGCTCAATCTGTATCTATATCATGCACACACCCCCACCCCACACCCCACACACCCCATATATATTTTTCCTGAATTTTTCCCTTGCATTCATGAGAGGTATAATATGAATAATATATGGACTTTATACAGAATGCTCTTCTGAGATATTTTTTAAACAAAATATTATGTTTCGGTGTAACTGAATACACATCAATCTCATCATTTAACAGAGTCATAATCATAATTGTTTAATTCCCCTTCTTCTAGCAGACCTCTTGAAGATATCTGGTGGACAAATGTGTAAGTGCTGCTAACTCTTTCTACAGTCTTCACTGGACATTTCAGTGTCAGTTCTTAGAAAGCTTTCTGCTTACCGAAGTTCCTATCAACACATTTGTCTTGGGCAATGAGCTCCTGCACCCATGGGCTGTGAATGGATGTCCACACTTCTGAATTAAGCATGCTAACAACCAGCAAAGCTCCACAGTCTTCCAGTATGTCACAGGTTCCCCCAAACCCACCCAACTCTTGGACTTTTTAAACATTAAAGTGAAATTCTTTATTCTCTACAAATCAGTTTTAATATTTTTACCCTAAAGCCACATATTTAATTGGCCTTTTGTGTTTATGCAAATATATCATCAATTTCCTACAATATGGCTGTGATTCTTAGGGCTACATAGCAGCAACACCAGTTGTGACATGACTGAATGTGGAAGACAGCTTCAGTACACAGTAAACACACTATGAGGGGTCACTCCACATGGGACTTCAGTCAGTCAGTGTTGCCAACGCCTCCCACAGTCTCACCCTGCTGTGCTCATCTCATCTACTGACATGCCTGCCTTGAGAAACATGTCACCTCTGCTCCATTTGGAATGTTCCAGTATCATTTATTTTCTGGAGCTCTAGATTATGGAAAATGAAAACAACAAATCCACTTTCCACAGGTCTAATTTCTGATGGCATGCTTCTTGTTCTCACACAGCTGTGAGCTCTCCTCCTATCTGGATGCATCTTACCTGCCCATACCTCTCACGGGAACAGCCTGAAGACTACCTTTCCCCATCCACACAGCTCTCTGCTATCAGCGTGTCGAGTTCCTCCATCTGCCCACACCTCTCCCTATGAATAACCCATAGACTACTTTCCCCTTCACATTTTCCCCTACTCACAGTGTGACCACCTTCACCTGTTCCCACCAGCAGTGCGACCACGTTTACCTGTCCATACTTCTCCCTACCAACAGTGTGACCATCTTTACCTATGCACACCACTCACTATCAACAGGGTGAGTATTTTCATCGATCCATACCTGTTCCCACCAACAGTGTGACTCCCTTTACCTGTTCATGCCTGACCCCATCAACAGTATGATTACCTTCACCTGTCCACTCCTTGTAATGCCAATGACTGACCAAAGCTTTTTCCTCTATTTTCCATCTTCCTTCCTAATGAAGAAGATATTTAGAATGCTCAGAAATATTATGCTCTTTGTTTTGGAGCTTCTTAGGTATTGTATGTGACTTATAGAAAATTATGACTCAGCATCTAAACAACATATCATTGAAAAAGTAGATGTGAGAAAAAATGCTCTGTAGTAAGTGCACATCACACAGAAACAAGTACAGCTATTTGGGTTGTGGCCCAAACTTCTATCTGCAGCTCCTAATAGCAAAACATAAGAATGAAGCCTGCTCAGATTATAGCTTCATTAGTTCTTGGAGATAAAAGTAAATTAAATATTAGATCAGAGACTTGAGAGAAATGTGGTTTGCTGGTAGGCCAATGTGGTCTTGGGCATCTGTGTAAAAAAAATCCTACCTTGCCATCAATAGCCAGACCCTGTACTCACGACTATAGAATCTTCCATGATCCAGCTTCCATGCTGTTCACCAAAGTCAGTAACTTAATCTTCCTTCCTCCCAGTTTCAGGAATTGTGCATTCTAAGTGCCAGCCTCTGGCCTCCTCTGTGATCTCATTTAGGGAACACACTCTTCAAAGCTTATCTTTGTTCCCCATCAACAATGGAACAAATGAAAACATGTCTCAGTGCTATAGTTGTCACTAAGAAGTAACAGATTTGCACATTAGTAACTCATTATATTTAAATAGGACAGAGGCCAAGGCTGGCTTTATGATCCAATCCTAATAATTTACAACTTACTTTGGTGTTTCTCAGCCAACCAGTGAAGGTAAATTGAATACAATTTTCTTAAATATCAAGCATATACAACAAAAAGCCGACATAGTTAGGTTTATGGTCAGTGTGAAGAAGGATAAATAATGTTAGAAATACTCCTGCTAATATCTGGCTCCTGGTCTTCAGGTCTCCGAACCCTCCAGGTGGGGTGAGCATGGTTTGGGGCAGGGTCAACAGTGGCACTTGCTTTACTTCCATGCTAAGAATTCTGAGCGAGCAGGACTGTCTCTGAAGGACCTAATTCTATGGCTGTAACTTAAGTGCCAAACACTTTTGTCTATAAGCAGAGTTTAGATCTATTGTTTTCCTTTCCCATTCATTTCTCTTGGTTTCACCACCCAAGACAACAATCATGGAACATCACTCATGTCTTGCTGATGTATTTCTGCCCAAGTCCTTACCAAACACAGCTTAAGGGGAAAAGATATTCCTCACCAGCATTTTTAGTGTGTTTACTTCCCTGGATGAACTATCCTGCCTCTTCCTTCATCCCAACAGATAAGGCTATATAAACACCTCTTCTGGATACAATTGTTTGTACATAATTCTCTGCATACCATTTCCCATTACAGTGGATAGGTGAGTGAAAATGGTAAATGCTTAAAATGAAAGGGGCTGACTGAAAAATCCCCAAAACCTGCTGAAGACTTTGAAGGACAAAGGGTAAGCATTTGCTACAGTAAACTGTCGACATTTTGGTTGTGTTGGTTTCTGCAGCGTTACCTAACCTCTTCTGATTTTTTCAGGGGCTTTGAATCACCACAATGATTCAACTTCTTTATGATACTTACAAAAAGTAATCAAGCATATGGGCTTATGCCTGGAGCTTTGTACATGCAAGACAAATGCTCCACTAATGAGTTACATCCTCAGTGCTTCATTTGTGACACAGAATCTCACTATGCAGCCAAGGTTGATCTTGAATTCACAATTCTCCTGCCTCTGTCTCTGGAATGGTGGGATCACAGGTGTGAGTCACCATGCCTGACTAGCCAGCCTTCTTTTGGTAAATGTAAAACCATGTTTTCATCCAGCATGTACTGTAGATGAAACCCTGATTTAGGATGAAGCCAACATTTTTCTATATCTTTCAGCAAAGTAAAAATCTGTGCTAATTCTAATAATTGGTAACATACTTTGGCATACTTTGGTGTTTCCCAGCCAACCTGTGAAGTTGAACAGAATTCAGCTTCATTTAATACCAAGCATGTACATGACAGCTTGACCACACTTTCTCAAGGTTACTTTTTTGTGCTTGTCTCCAGTGCTGTCCATTTTCTTTTTCCTTTTTCCTTTTTTTAAAATTTAAATTAGAAACAAGCTTGTTTTACATGTCATTCCCAGTTTTCTCTCCCTTCCCTTCTATCCTGCCCTCTACTGACCCCCTATTCCATCCCCTTTCTGCTCCTCAGGGAGGTTAAGGCCTTCCAATGGGGAATCTTCAAAGTCTGTCATATTATTTGGGGCAGGGCCTAGACCCTCCCTTGTGTGTATAGCTGAGAGAGTATCCCTCTAGGTGGAGTGGGCTCCCAAAGTGCATCATTTACTAAGGATAAATACTGATCCACTACCAGAGGCCCTATATATTGTCCAGGCCTCCAAACTGACATCCTTGTTCAGGGGGTCTGTAAAAGCCCTGTGATGGTTTCCCAGCTGTCAGTCTGGGGTCCATAAGCTCCCCCTTGTTCAGGTCAACTGGTTCTGTGGGTTTCTCCAGCCTGGTCTTGACCCCTTTGCTCTTCACTCCTCCCTCTCTGCAATTGGATTCCAGGAGTTCACCTCAGTGTTTACCTGTGGGTGTCTGCTTATGATTCCACCAGCTACAGGATGAAGGTTCTAAGATGGCATATAAGGTAGTCAAAAATCTCATTATCGGAGAAGGGCATTTAAGGTAGCCTCTCGACTCTTGCTGAGATTGTTAGTTGGGGTCAACCTTGTAGATCTCTGAACATTTCCCTCCTGCCAGATTTCTCATTGACCTATAATGGCTCCCTCTATTATGGCATCTCTTTTCTTGCTCTCCTCTATTCTTCCCCCAACTCCATCTTCCTTCTCTCTCCTGTCCTCCTTTCCCCACCTCTTCTTTTTCTCCTAACTCCTTCTCCCATACCCCCATGCTCCCAATTAGCTCAGGAGATATTATCCCTTTCCCTTTCTCTGGGGGACCATGTATGTCTGTCTCTCTTAAGGTCCTTCTGTTTCCTAGTTTCTCTGGCTGTGTGGATTGTAGGATTGTAATCCTTTGGTCTATGTCTAAAATCCATATATGAGTGAGTACATACCATGTTTGTCTTTTTATGACTGGGTTACCTCACTCAGGATGGTTTCTTCTAGTTTCATCTATTTGCCTGCACATTTCAAGATTCCATAGTTTTTTTCCTCTGAGTAGTATTCCACTGTGTAAATGTACCACATTATCTCCATTCATTCTACAGTAGAGGAGCATCTAGGTTGCTTCTAGGTTCTCACTATTACAAATAACGCTGCTATAAACATGGATGAACATGTCCTTGTTGTATGAATGGGCATCTTTTGGGTGTATTCCGAAGAGTGGAATTGCTGGGTCTTGTGGTAGACTGAGTCCTGTTTTCCTGAGCAACCACCATACTGATCTCCAAACTGGCTGTACAAGTTTGCACTCCAACCAGCATTAAAGGAGTATTCCCCATTCTCCACATCCTCTCCAGCATAAACTATGGTGTTTTTGATTTTAGCCATTCAGACAGGAATGAGATGGTATCTCAGAGTTGTTTTGATTTGCATTTCCCTGATGACTAAGGAAATTGAACACTTATGTGTTTTTCAACCATTTTAGATTACTCTATTGAGAATTCTCTATTTAGTTCTGTATCCCACTTTTTAAATGGATTATTTCATGTTTTGCTGACTCGCTTCTTGTGTTGTTTGTATATTTTGGGGTTGGTGAAGATCTTTTCCCATTCTGTGGGCTGCTGTTTTGTCTTGTTGACTGTGTCCTTTGCCTTACAGATGCTTCTCAGTTTCAGGAGGTCCTATTTACTAATTGTCAATATCAGTGTCTGTGCTACTGATGTTATGTTCAGGAAGTGGTAGCCTGTGCCAATTCATTCCAGGGTATCCCCTATTTTCTCTTTTAAGAGGTTCAGTGTGACTGGATTTATGTTGAGGCCTTTTATCCATTTGGACTTAAGTTTTGTGCATGGCAATAGACATGGATCTATCTGCAATCTTGTACATGTCTGTATCCAGTTATGCCAGCACCATTTGTTGAAGATGCTTTCTTTTGTCCATTGTACAGTTTTAGTTTCTTTGTCAAAAATCAGGTATTCGTAGGTGTGTGGATCTATATCAGGGTTTTCAATTCAATTCCATTTGTCTACCTGTGCCAATACCAAGCTGTTTTCAGGACTATAGTCCTATAGAGCATGAAGTCAGGGATGGTGATGCTTCTAGATGTTCCTTTATTGTACAGGGTGGTTTTGGCTATACTGGGTCTTTTGTTTTTCCATATAAAGTTGATTATTGTTCTTTCACAATCTGTGAAGAATTGTGCTGGGATTTTGATGGGGACTGAGTTGAATTTATAGATTGCTTTTGGCAAGACTGCCATTTTTACTATGTTGATCCTATATATCCAAGAACATGAGAGATCTTTCTAGTTTCTGGTATCTTCTTTATTTTCTTTTTCAACCACTCAAAGTTCTTGCTATATAGGTATTTCACTTGTTTAGTTTTACCCCAAGGTATTTTATGTTGTTTGTGGCAATTATAAAGGGTGATGTTTCTCTGATTTCTTCTCAACCCATTTATGTTCTGTATATAGTAGGGCTACTGATTTTTTTGAGTTAATCTTGTTTCCTGCCACTTTGCTGAATGTGTTTATCACCTGTAGGAGTTCCCTGGTAGAGTTTTTCTGGTCACTTATGTAAACTATCATATCATCTGTAAATAGTAAACGTTTGACTTCTTCTTTTCAAATTTGTATCCCCTTGATCTCCCTTTGTTGTCTTATTGCTCTAGCTAGAACTTCAAGTACAATATTGAAGAGGTATGGAGAGAGTGGACAGCTTTGTTTTGTCCTTGAATTTAGAGGAATAGTGTTGAGTTTCTCTCCATTTAGTTTGATGTTGGCTGTTGGTTTACTGTTAGTGCTTTTATTATGTTTAGGTATGGTCCTGTTATGCCTGATCACTCCAAGACCTTTATCATGAAGGGGTGCTGGATTTTGTCAAAGGCTTTTTCAGAATCTAGTGAGAGGATCATATGATTTTTCTTACTCAGCTTGTTTATATTTTGGATTACATTGATGGACAGTTGCATGTTGAACCATCCCTGCATCCCTGCGTTGAAGCCCACGATTTTTCTGATGTTTTTGGATTCAGTTTTCCAGTGTCTTATTGAGTATTTTTGCATCAATATTCATGAGGGATGTTGGTCTATAGTTCTCTTTCTTAGTTCTGTCTTTGTGTGGCTTAGGTATCAAGGTTATTGAAGCCTCATAAAAAGAGTTTGGCAATGACCCTTCTGCTTCTCCTCTGTGGAATACTTTGAGGCTGTGTCCCTTTTCTTAGACCATTTACTGAAAAGATTTATAAAATTATTTTCTCCCTCCTGATAGGTAATCTTCTCTGTGCCCTGCAGGTTTCAAAATCTGAAAGGGTCTTTCTCATAGGCCTAGAGGTCATTCCTTGGAGTGAACTCATTAAGAAAGTTGGTGCCCCGATTCAAATTCCAGTATGAGGGGTGGGTTTTAACTCTAGTTA